CAAAAACACAAAAGTGGTTAAACAATTACACAAAATAAAACCGCAAAACCCTAAGCCACGTTTGGCAGCTGAGAAAGAGAAGACAGAAATGAAAAAGATCACAAATTTGCAAGTACATATTCCAGGCTAAGAACATAAGATGAAATTACAAAAAAATAAATGAAAGTCCAAAATTTCTTGGTTTGGACACAAGCAGAGCGATCAGAGGGAAATCAGAAGAGGGATCGTGAAGAAGATTGAAGGGTGAACCTTGATGATTCTCCGGGGAAGGTTACTGTTGGCCATTCGAAAGTCGATTGCAGGCTACGCAATGAGGGTTTTTGCGACAGAGAGAGAGAAGGGAAGGGGGGGTAGAGAGAGAGAGAGTGCGTTGGGTTTCTTTCTTTCTCTCACTATGACGAAGAAATAATCTTAATAAGCACTCGGTTTACGAATATTTTACGTGTTTCTTATTTCCCAAAACTTAAAAGCAATGATTTTGACATCTTTATTATTCTCTCTCTCTCTATTTTTTTTTTCCCTGCTTTGGGAAGTTTCAACTTTCATGTATGCCCGACAGATTGCCAATAACTGATCAGTTTAGTGGCATTTTTCTTTTTACAAATTTATAAATAAACTCAATTCTAGACATGCATTTATAAAAAAACTCAAGTATTATTTAAACATAGAAATACACCCAAAATTAACTTCAAAATCAACAATTGTATATTTTTTGGGTGTGTTTATAAATGGGTTTTGAGTGTGTGTAATGATAGATTTTGGGTGTGTTTATAAAGTGTTTTGGGTGTTGGGTTTTTTTTATAATTTCAACTCCCATTTTGGGTGTTTTAGTGAAACTCCCTTTTCTTTTTCGCTTGTTTCTTCCTTTGAAAAAAAAAAAAAAGTTAGCTACATTTCCTTTCCTTAGGTGAGCGGGACTGTTTTAGGTGCACCTTCTCATTTTACCTTATTTTGTTAGCTACATTTCCTTGAGTGAGCATGACTGTTATTATCTTGCAATGTTGTTTAATTATTAATGTCACCTAAAGCATAAAAACTTGTATGAAAAGACTAATCACATTCTGGAACGTGAAACAATTATCAGGCGTGGCATACCGTGATTGGTTGGGAATAGTAAGATAATGCTATCCTTATTTCATATAAGTGTTTCTCCATCTAAAGGGCTAGGATGGTCTCACGTCCTCTTTTTTTTTTTTTTTTTTTTTGGTGACAAAAAGTTTAGAGGGGATTTTTTTTTTTTTAATGACAAAAAGTTTAGAGGGGAGGGGTTCTCATGCCCTTTCTTCCCTCACTAATTCCTCATTCTTCCCAATTTTCCCTCTTTTTTCTCCAAGGGGGAATCATGTTTCCGATCCCCTTCCTAGTGCAAGGTCCCTCCTAATGTAGAAGGCCTCTTCTCATTTGGAAGTCAGGCTCTTTGCGTTGGACTATCTTCTAGTTCACCTTTTAAAGATCATGCTTGCGAAAATTCAATAAAATCATAAACGGTTTCGTAATTTAATTGTTATAAAATAAATTGACGGAATCTAGTGTTTTGATTCAAAAAAAAAAATTATCGCATTGTTAATAAAATAGAAAACTGTTTCCGATTAGTTTTTTTTTTTTTTTCCCAAAAATAATTCTTGAAAGATGACCTTGAAAATGAACGGTTTTGATTACCATACAACATTGCAGAATGAAAATGAGAAAAAAAAAAACGATACAAAAAGAAAATAACTAGCATTCCAAAAAAAAAAAGCATTATAGATGGGATTTGATACTTATTTGGTTGATTTTCTCGAATAACCCATTTTGACCACCCACCAACTATTGGGACACAGCGCTTATATAAAATGGTTCAATGAAGGGGGCAATAACAGACGAGATGGACGGGTAAATCATGTATCAGGGTCAAAATTGTAACTTTTCTGTATTTCAAAAATGCAATTTAAAGATAAATTGATCTTTCTGGTTTTAATGTTTGGATATTTGAGTCGCATAATACACAAAATGTTATTGAGCAAACTATTTTAGATGTATTAATTCATGCAAAAAATATAGATGCATCAACAACATCCAATCTTTTTTGTTTAAACTTGTCGATCCTTTTATTGTGATGTTCTTTAAAATAAAATAAAAATAATTTTGTAGAGAGCTATACAATTAAATAGAGGGAGAGTTAATTCCTTCCCACAAATATTTATATATATATATATATATTAAGTAGTTCACATTATGGTGACAGAGTGTGGTATGTATAATATTTCTATACTTCCTCAGTCTCCTCGGGGAACAATTCCTTAAGAACTTCCTCACACTCAGTGACACTCGCATTCTGCATGAACCCAAGGGGGTTGGCATACCGAGCCATGGACTTGACACCATTGTTGTGTGTTAGCAAAACCCTAGCTCTCTCGAAGTCAAAGTGATCATTGCAATTGGCCCTAGGGCTGCTCACGGTCCTCACCTCACAGATTTGCTCCTCCATGTCCTCATCGGCGGGAAGGCTGTAGATGCCATTCTTATCGGTCTTGCCTTGAAGTGTGTATGCCAAGGTACCATTCTCACGGCCTCGGCACTCCAAAGCTACCACAGCACCTGTATCCATGCACATGTCAAACAAAGTGCATAATTTAAGAATGATCATTGATTGATGAGTGAGCGATTTATAAAATGTAGGCCCATTAAGAATTTAATAACTTCTTCGACCTACCCCAATGCCATTGTATAGGGATTAGTAAAAATAACATATAAAGTGGAAATAGGGTTTTAATAACTTCGGACAACTCAACTTCTTCAACGCGAGATTCTGTGTTCGATGCGAAGTACTGAAAAGCTGATAGGGGTAAAAGCAACCCTTCAAAAAGATAATTTTCCTTTCGTTTTTCATAAACCAAAAAAGAAAATTAAGAGGGTCTAATAGAGAGCCATAGATGGTAAATCTTAGATACTAACAAAAAGATTTGATGAAATGGCAAAATAAGAATGTGGTGATATATGTAACAAGTTAGATATGAAGTTACCTTCGAGGGGTACACTAAGTCTAGTCTCGAACTGGACACGACATGGGTCACAGTACACCCTGCCCTCCACAAAGAGATTGGTTTTGGTTGTGGCATATGCCAAAGAGCAGAAGCAGGACAGGGCGACAACAAGTGCTACGATACTCAAGTTCTTGGCCATTTCTATATCTCTCCTCTTTGGTGTTCTTTCTGTATTTGAGTTCTAATTATACTCCCCCTTTGTGTTAAATTTCTTGGAGGCAATTGAAAGTCTTTTATAGGTGAAACAAATGGTGTTTGGTTAAGATTGTGTGGTAATGGTCGGGATGTTCTATTTTAGGGTTTGTGGAGGGAGTCAATTTTAGTTATCATTTTCCGCACTTTCTTCCCCTTCAACTAATATGACAACAAGTACAAAAGTTTGGAACTACTTTTTTGAAGTCTCATGGTTGAAAAACTAGTTTGAGAAATTTGGTTTTTCAAAGGTTTAGATTTGATGACAAGCCGTGTAAGGAAAATACTCATTTTATAAATAGTTTTGCTCAAATACTTATTTCTTTTATTAAAAAAAAGAGGAATCGAACTTGAAACTTCTCCAATATTAAGAACTTGAAATCTATTTTTTATATGAGACCATGTAAGGGTCTCATATTAAGTTTTGTACAAGACCCCTAAAATCTTAGAGCCGATCTTTTAAATGATTAAACAACTTTTGATTTAATTTTTTTTAGCGGAGATATATCTTACATAGATATTATTATTTATACAAACATTTTCACTTAAAAATTCTCCTATAGAATACGTCACTGTGACATAAACTTTACATTGATAATATTGTTGAGATCGTATAATTATATTTTAGACCAAAAACAATATATAGATAATGGAAAATTGTAGGTGCTTTATTCCATATTTTTTCTTCTGCTATTTCACATCCATATATAATTTATAGTTAGTCAACGTGTTTTCTGCCCCCAAAAAAAACACGTGTTTTTCCTATTTTGATTTCCTGGTCCTTTCTTTTTGGAAAGATTGATTTCCTGGTCTGAAATTTTTTTAAAATAAATTTAATTTAAAAATAACAAAAAGTGTCAATTAGGTAAAGCAGCCAATGAAGAACTTGGCGGCAACTCTTCACAAATGGCTTCCTGCTCTACCTTCAACCTTTCACCAAGTTCAAAACCCACAAAACCCACAAAACCCTTACCCCATTATTTCCTAAAACCACTGATTCACGAACCTGAAACCGAGACCCGAACCAGAATCCAAACCCCTTACCCAAAGCTCATAATCACTGGTCCTTCCAAGCTCTCCGGCCATGTACCCATCAGCGGCTCCAAGAACTCAGCTTTACCCATTCTTGCAGCGACCCTTTGCTGCTCAGGCACTTCAAAGATTCACAATGTGCCCAATTTGTTCGATACCCGCACAATGGCTTCGGTTTTAGCTTCTCTTGGAGCCAAAGTTGAAGTCTTTAATAATGAAATGTTGGTTAACACTGATGGGGTTGACTCAGTTGAGCCTAATTCGGATGAAATTCGTAAGATAAGAGGTGGGTTTTTCGTCATTGGCCCTTTGGTAGCCCGATTCGGCGAGGCTGTGGTTGCATTGCCCGGTGGCTGCAATATCGGGACTCGACCAGTGGACCTGTACATTAGAGGTCTTCAAGCTCTTGGTGCTGTTGTTGAGTTGAGGTAAGTTTCTCACTGTTTTCTTTAGCCAACATCTGAAATGTATAATGCTTGATGTAACTGCAAATTTCATAGAATGGTTCCCAAAATCTTGATTAGACTTGCATGAGAGTAAGCATATTATGCTTTGCAGTGTAGTGTAGGAGAGGTTCTATGGTCACTTTATGATAAATGCGTATACTTGAATTGTAATAATAAGAAGGCAGTCTTACGAAACTTTTGTTACGACTAAGCATGACACTAGAGGTACAATTTCCTTTACAAATTTTAGTGTGCCAAGTAAGGAATGAAGGTGTGAGAGTTCACAGATTGAGTCATTGCTAATCTCAGCTATTGTGGCGGTTGGCATGTTGCTGATTGTCTTATTCAATATGACTTGCTTATTTTCTTAATTAGTGACACTTGACACGGATGATTGGTCTATTGGAAAGTGTATCCAAATTCTTTGTTATATACATGGTCTATGAATGATGTGAGGAGTTGATCAGTAAAATTTATGCAACATACAGGGATGGGAAAGTTCAGGCATATGCTGCAAACGGAAGAGGATTAGTTGGAGGAAGTTTCCAACTTGATTACGCAAGTGTTGGGGCAACAGAAACTCTTATGATGGCTGCATGTATGGCTGATGGAACGACTGTACTATCCAATGTTGCCAGAGTATGATAAGATGAATCTCACTGAACATTTTAGCTTCTAACATTCATTGAATGGAAGTGTGTTAACTGTTATCATTTGTTGTCTAGTGGATTAGATTAAAATAATGAAGTGACTTCTTTCCCCAACATTTCACCATAGGAACCAGAGGTGGTGGATCTTGCTCGGTTTCTTAATGACAGTGGGGCCAGTGTGGAAGGAGCAGGAAGTAACCAGCTTGTTATCAAAGGGAAACCCCTGTTGCATGGTTCTGAATGTGTTATTGCTGCTGATCGTATTGAAGCAGGCACATTTATGCTTGCTGCAGCTATTACTCGCTCATGCATCTCAATATCACCTGTCGTACCTAGCCAAATGGCCTGTTTGATACAAAAACTCTCGGCTGCTGGTTGCAAAATCAGGCAATACTCTCATGATACCTTGGAAGTAGGTGAAAATTCTTAACATTATTTTGTACCCATTTTGTTTGTATCTTACAGAACTTTATAGTTGACAAATACTTCAGGTTTCAGCAGTTTCTAGATGCGGGGGTGAAAATTTGCAAAGCTTTGAGGTTAAGACAGGCCCATATCCTGGGTTTCCTACAGATCTTCAACCGCAAATAATGGCTCTGCTGACCACGTGCAATGGTTTAAGTCCTGTAGAGGAATCTGTATTTGACAAACGCATGGGTCATGGTATGTGGTATCTGCAGATTTATATGTGTATGCATTTCTGCATATTTTTGGATGCGGATCACTTCTGATCAATGGACTGTATAAGTGCAACACCTTGTAGTATCTATGCATTATGTTTGTATATGTGTTTGCTCATACATACACATCATTCTTTTTGTTTCGATGTTTGGAAGGCCGATATATTGCTTAAAATTGGTTGCATTGAGATATTCACATACATGTTCTCTGCTTTCTACCAGTAAGTGAACTGCTAAAGCTTGGAGCAAAAATTCAGGTCTGTGCAAGCACTGCTCTGGTCTTTGGGAAAGATAATGGAAGGCACGTAGATTTTCCTTTTATATAGTTTTATGTTTTTCTTGCTCCCTAATTGGAATTACATGAATGTGCTGACTCATTTCCATTCTCCTGTCAGTGCCTTGTCTGGTTCTTCCCTTGTTGCAAATGACATTAGGGGTGGCATGTCACTGATATTAGCTGGATTGGCTGCAGAAGGAACTACGGATATCAGTGGCGTTGCTCATATTGACCGTGGTTATGAGAACTTAGATATGAAACTTCATTCACTGGGAGCTGATGTCAAAAGATTAATGCCCTTGGCTTCCTAATTGGAAAAGTAAGAACCTTGTTCCCCATTATAATTCTTTGCTCTTTCTAGTGCCCATTGTGATAAGTACAAAAAATTTGTGCCAAATTACTGTAGTATATTGCCGAGGGGGTGTACTTTAAAAAAAGGCTTAGAATGTGTTATTAGCCAGGGCTACATGCACATCAGATTGTAGGTGATTCTAGCAAAGTTATATAAGTTATTAGAGGGATAATGGTCATGACATATGCTACGTATTTCAGTTATCTATTAATTTAGAACTCAAGTAATCTGCATTTTTATCCATGCTAGTCATGCGTGCTCTAAATGTAAAGTGTAAACTGACCTGAGTTTTATTCTTGTTCCTGCATGGTTCATCCTTCAATTCCTGGTTTTGTAGCTTGATTGTGCAATCAATATCTTCGAAGATGATTAAGATTGGTTATGCATGGAAAACAACAAGAAGTTACCCAAATGGGATTTGGAATTAATTGCTCAAAAACTCAAACTTGTAGATGTCATAGTTAATGTGATTAGCCATGGCTACAATCAAGCTTGCCTGTGCCAGGAAGGCCATCTAAAGTATCCACGTTTCCAAGCCTTTTTCAACCTCCTGTAGAATTCATTCCCTTTATAAAATTGTTAAAAAATCCTGCCTTCTTAAGCTCCATATCCGTTGCAAAGAGCTTGAAGCACATTGGGTAATCAAGCTTGATCACCCATTAAAATTCGTTTCAAAATTGTGTGGTGTTTTTTTGGGGGTGGAGGAGCGGAAGAAGCAGTTAGAGGGCCACTAACTAGGACATCACCAGGGAGTGGAGGTCGCCCGCTCCACTGGTTTTGTGTTATCCCATATGATTTCAAGAGGTCTATCCACAAAATCCTCAACACAAGAGCAGACCGGAGAAGTCACCATAATATGACCTACTACAACAGTAATGTCGTCCTTCTTGCCTCCTGGATGATTCTTTCCAGCCTCCTGAGCCGCTTTTGAGTAAGGACTAAAGCTGTCCTTGTCCAGAGACCTAAGCCAGGCCAAATCTGCCAAAAGACAAGCCAACGCCTGCGGCTTCATCACACGACTTTCTCTCATGTTTCCCAGAACAACTTGCTCTATTTCATTCGGGTACATGTTGTCCCACAATCCATCAGTCCCAATCACTACAATATCCCCTGGAAATACTCTAATTTCGATCTCTGTTGCGCTACAAGGATTATCACTGCCTCTGCTGTTGCCCAGTTGATACGGACAGTTAAAACTACGCTGTTCACGAGGAGACATGTACAAGAGTTTGTAGTTTCTAAACACCATCAAACCACTATCCCCAACGTTTACAAAGTGTAAAACTCCTGTTTCTCTAAGCGTGACAATGCAAGCGGTTGAGGACCCTTCACACTTGGTGTCTGCATAAGCTAAGGGGTCAACAATGGTTTGTTTTTGGACCGACATGATCGAGTTGCACATGAGTTCTCTTGCGTACTGGCCAGCATCTACACCATGCTTTGCCCAACCACCCACGCCATCTGCCACACCAATAGTCTGCTCTTGTGCACATATGAAGTGGGCGTCATCGCCTTCTGGCTTCAGTTTGTCTTCTTTGGGCCAATAATAGGACCCACAAATCATCCTCATGCTCGTGCTCTTAAGATTTCAGAGAGACGGAGCAACGACTAATTTTGTTCTTAACCTAATCACCACCTACAAAACAAAACAAAACAGAACTTGGAGGGTTGGAAAAATATTACATGTGGTGTGGCATTTATGGTGGAGTGATAGTTCCTTTTGGGTTGGAAATTATATAGGCCTAGGTTTTTTTTTAATACCTATTTCGGATCGGAATTCCAATCCTTGTGGGCTCGTTCTTTGTATCGGATTTGGTTTCCTTTTGTTTTAGGGGTATCTTGGTCTTTTCCTCCTCACAATGCTACTTTGCAGGGAGATTGTGATCAAAGCAAATCCTAAAGTCATTCCTTGTGAGAGATTCCTGCCTTAAAAGCACCCAAAATAAAAAATCAGTTTTCAGAGAGTTTCCTATTCCAAGGGACCAAAAAATAAATAAATAAATCCTGAATTTGATTCTTTCTTGGTTCAGTTCTAATTGAAATAAGAAAGAAAAATGAAGCTTCGTTTTTTTTTTTTTGGGTTTTGATTAAACATCACATACTTCTGATGTCAAAAGATTAATTATACATATGGCTTCCTAATTGGAAAAGTAAGAACTTATTTTTAATGAAGAAAAATTTAGGGAAGGAAGATGCTACTCCCACACCCAGGGCCAGGGCAAACCTGCGACTTAGAGCCAGTTGAACTAACACAAGGAACCATTAAAGTCAGAACCTTTTTCCCCATTATAATTCTTTTATCTTTCTGGAGCCGTTGTGATAAGTACAAAGAAAGGCTTAGAATGTGTTGAAAGTAAAAGAAATTATGTAATCTAATATAATGATAACGATAAAATCACAAAAAGGGAGAGCTGGGTTACATATTTTAGACATCAAACAGGCCTAGGGTGCACACACATACAAGTGCAAGCGTGTTACCTAATAACTAAAATAGGTTTCTATACATCTCCTTTTGCTTTGTTCCCCTTCTTCAAACATTACTTTCTTCTCAGAAGGAAATTTGTGACGCCTTGGAGCGGAATGGGATCAAGCATCCTTGCTCTTCATTACCTCTCATGCAACTTCTGAACCTCCCCTATAAGCCCTTCAATCTGTTCCAATTTGTGATGGCAAAGCCAGATCGTGTCACTTGTAGATGTCATAGTCAAGGTGGTTAGCCATGGCTGAAATCAAAATTCGTGTCAAATTCGTGTTGTGTCTTTTTTGGGGGTGGAGCTCCTAAAACAGTTACAAGGCCACGAACAAAGACGCCACCAGGGAGTGGAGCGCTTCAGCCCCAGTTGTGCTGTGTTATCCGATATGATTTCCAAACCCTCAACACAAGAGGAGGCTGGAGTAGAAGTCGCCATAATATAACCTACTACAACAGTAATGTCGTCCTTCTTGCCTCCTAGGTACTTTATTCCAGCCTTCTGAGCTGCTCTTGAAAAAGGACTAAACCTGCCCTTGTCCAGCGACCTAACCCTAGCCACACTTGCCAAGGCACAAGCCAATGCCTCCGGCTTCATTTCTCTCATGTTTTCTACAAATTGCGCTATCTCATTCGGTTACATGTTATCCCACAACCCATCAGTCCCAAGTACTAAAATATCCCCTGGAAAAACCCTAATTTTGATCTTCGTAGCCGAACGAGGATTATCAAAGCGGGTGCTGTATCCCAGTTGGTACGGATGGTTAAACCCATGCTGTTGACGTGGAGACATGTACAAGAGTCTGTAGTTTCTAAGCACCATGAAACCACTGTCCCCAACGTTCACAAAATGCAAAACTCCTTTGTCTTTAAGGGTAAGAATGCAAGCGGTTGAGGACCCCTTACACCTGGTCTTTACATACGCTTCGTTCAAAACCCTTCTTGGGTCAACGCCTCCAAAAGCTTGCTGCTTTTTGACGGACTTGATCGAGTTGCGCATGAGTTCTCTTGCGTACTGGCTAGCATCCACACCAAGCTTTGCCCAACCACCAACGCCATCTGCTACACCAATAGTCCGCTCTTGTGCACATATGAAGTGGGCGTCATCGCCTTTGTTTTTTTTGGGGAAATAATAGGACCCGCAAATCATGTCCATGCTTTTAAGATTTCAGAGGGACGGACCAACAATCGCTAACTATGTTTTTAACCTAATCACTTACAAAACAAAACACCTGAGGGTTTGAAAAAATATTACATACTTGAATGAATCAACCTGTGGTGTGGTATTTATAGTTTTAGGCTTTAGTTTACTACTTGTATGATTTTTACCTATTTCCGGTAGCAATTCCAATCCTGGGTGGACTCGTTCTCAGTATTGGGATTAAATTTGGTTCCACAGTTGTTTCGTTATCCAAAGCAAATCCATAATAACTAGTCACACAGATGTCCAGCATGCGAAGACAACATGGGTGCCTGACACATATGGCCAACATTGCCGCAGTTTCCATTTGCTATTTGAATATTAGCAGCCAAATTAGCCACAGTCTGCACAACCACTTGAATATTGGCCACTGTTCACCATATTGTTGACATAAATGTGCAGTAAATTGTGCCCTAATGATTTAAATGATTTAAGTGCGGTCTTCTAATGCTAGGAGATCTAGGTCTTAGTATTGATTAGGAATTCAACAGTCCCTAGTCATGTGGTCCTATGAAGAGTTGTGTTTAGGTTTAATTGAAGGGCCAAACGGATTCCTAAATTCACCGGGAGAATATAAGAAAATGATATATAATCCAGAAATTCTCAACAATATGTCGTATATATGCTCAAGTATAATTTTCCACATTCGAAACCTAATTTTCTAATTCTGAACTTTATTTCTTTTTATAAATGTTCTTTGTTGGAATAAACTCATATTTTGTCCTACATCAATTTTTCAATCGGCTGTGTGCCTAGCCACATTGATTAGAATGCAAAAAAAAAATCAAATAATCTAAATTTTAAAAACAAAGTTAAATTAGTCAAAGCAAACAAAATTCTATTATTTGATTTGATATAAATACAAAAATCAAAGGAAGAGCTCAAACATTAACCCTTGCTCTCCTCCTCCTCCTCCTTGTGAATGCTCTTCTTTTGTACAGATGTAGTTAGTTTTAGCCTCACAATCTCTTGTTGATTTTTCTTCTCCAGGAGGAAATTGATGAGGCCTTGGAGTGAAGTTTGAGCATCTCTGCTCTTCATCAACTCCCCTGCAACTTCTGCTGCGGTGACTTTAACCTCCCCTATAAGTCCTTCGATCTGCTCGAAGAGTTGGTGATGGGAGAGGCCATGGTAATTGAATGTCAGCTGCTTGAATGCAGAAAGAGTGCAATATGACATGTTTATGTGCATGTCCATGCGTCCAGGTCTCACTAAGGCAGGATCTAGCTTCTCCTTGTGATTTGTTGTGAAAATTATTATGCGTTCATCAGTACAACATGACCAAAGACCATCAATGAGGTTGAGAAGCCCAGAGAGTGTCACCTATTGATGAAACCAAACAAAAGTTATGTTGTCAGACTAAGAATTTGTACCGCAATTCAGACAAGGATCAACATAATTAAGTCCAGACTCATGTTATGGCAGCATAAAGTGATTAACTCGGAAGCCAGGAAGCTTGTTTTAATGGAAAACTAGTAATGCCCTAAATGTAAACTGACCTGATTTTTCCCCGTACTCGGTGCTTCATTCTCGGTTTCCCGGTTTTGCAGGTTAATTGTGCAATCGATATCTTCGATTACAAGCATAGATTGGTCAGGCATGGCAAGCAACCTTCTCTTCAAATCGGAATTGGAACCAACATCTGCCAGCTCCAACTCGTAGATGTCATAGTTGAGGTGATTAGCGATGGCTGCAATCAAGCTGGACTTGCCTGTGCCAGGAGGGCCATATAACAAGTACCCCCGTTTCCAAGCTTTTCCTATCCTTCTGTAAAATTCCTTTCCATTTTTGAAATTATTCAAATCATCCAACAAAACCTTCTTAATCTCCATATCCATGGCAAGCAGCTCAAAGGTCATGGGGTGATTCAGATTTACCTCTTGGGTCCCATAACATTCATATTGATCAATTGTGCAGAGCTTTACTACCTTTCGTTCTACTTTAATCGCCTTTGATCTGTCTAAAATGTATGGAAGGTATGAATTTAATACCTTCTCCTTGTGCTTCTTGTGGAAAGTTAGCTCATAGGATCTTGTTTCTGATCTTAAGGACGCATTAAGATCACCAGGATTTGTAGCCCACGATGATTCAACCTTTGTACAAACAAATTTCCACATCACTTGAACATGATCTTCATAAACGTCACATATCTCTTCCCCTCGATCCAGTGCAACTCCGAGCTTCTCCTTATTAACCTTGCTCACTTTGATTCTTTGAAGAGACGGGGTAGCTAACGTGCCCAAATAGGCTTCAGCAGCCTCAAAGACTTCATTCAAGGATAGCCCTTGAAACTCATCTATGACAATGGTGAGGTGAGAAGAGAAGCGCCGGGAAATGTTATGGAGGCTTGAGAAGAAGTAGTTTCGAAACTCATCAGGAATGAAGTCATTGGCAATACTTCTAAGAAGCATTGCAGAAGCAGCAACAGTGGCTATCGCAGGCAAAATAGCCTTTGTATCAGGCATTTTTCAAGGCCAAAGTTTTGTTGGAGAGTTGGACTAAAAAGTAAAATGGGGATTTGACAAATTATGAAGATGAAATTGGTTTGCCATAGAATATTTTGGCAACCTGAATATATAGAGATCTCTAAGAGAAAGTTGTAACAAAGACTGTTCCATTAGAGGTGGTATTTCATTGACTTTTGAATTGACCTCTTCAAAATTTCGTATATTTGCCGAAAATAGTGTTTTTGAATTTTCTAAGTTGAAATTTTGCATAAGAAGGTTCCCCTATGGACTCGGTGCGGTGGTTCAAAGTTTTTTCTCTTTGGCCAGCAAGAGAAGTCGCCAAGGGTGTGAGAAAGAAAGACCCTTCATCGATATTATTCTTTCTCAAGATTTATCCATTTCTAGAAAAAGAGAAATAGCTGAGCGTAAAAATCAAACAAGTTTGATTTAATTAAGGAACATGTTTAAATTCCGATGGATAATTAGAAAATAAAGGATATGACGAACAATAACACTTTTGTGTTTAAGATTGAATGTACAATAATATTAAACTATGAGCCTACTAGACCACGTTGATATTTTATTTAATCCGATGTTTTGGTAGTACAATAGAATGACCATTAAGGAGTGTCATTAAGGTTATTACACAGAAAATTAACCAGATTAAAATTCATAAACAAACAACCAATTACTGAAGTTCAGTTGGACATGGTTGTCTGATTCAGGTTTTTTGTATTTTGTGCGCTCTGTATTGGCTGGTCTTTGTCTTCAATGTTTCCAAGGGAGCAATTCCAAACCCCAGAAATATACTAAGCCAACAAGACCACTACTAAAAGTTCAATGATACCTGCAGCTAATTTTCCAAGAGAGTAATTCCAAACCCCAGAAAGATACTAAGCCAACAAGACCACTACTAAAAGTTCAATGATACCTGTAGCTAACTTTCCGGTGCTCCTACCACGATCACAGTTCCAAGTTATCTTCTTTTCCTTAACCCATTCCTTCCAAGTCTGTGATGGGACGGGGCAAGCAACATGGAAGGATGTGTCACTGCCATTAATGGGATTAACAGAGCTTGTAGACGTTTCACCGAGCGGCTATGTTGAAGAATATCATTTGAGCGCTGCACGTCGATCGGTCTGTGTCAATTGGGTGTTATGTAGGTCCAGTTCTATCACTCGCTGAAAGTCGAAATAACGTTAAATCTTACAATAATGATGATGTCATTGATTTTTGTGCTTGAATTTAGCTTTTTAGCCTCGCTGGAATTTTTTAATCTTATTATATTAAGTTTACTCCAATATCTCACAAAAATCAAATTATTTAATTAAAAAATATTTTTACGAAAAAAACCAATTCTTTTTCGGCTCAATACAAACAAACGTAACAAGTAAGTTCTATGTTTTTTTAAAGAGTTCGATGTTATTCTGACACATCAATTCCAACCATCGTTGAAAGTTCTATTTTATTGTCCACTATCATGAAAATTGTTGGTTCAACCAGTCACTCGTTTGTTATTTTAGGCTATAAAAGCATGACTTGAATGATCACAGTGAGAGAAAGCTATTCATATATTTATTTTTTTATTTTTTTTATACAATTGATATTCTATTTAATTTAATCTAAATTATGCGAAGGGGGATTCGAGCTTGGGTGCAGAGTGGAGAACACATCCGTTCTAGCCAACTTTGCTAAGCCCATGTGTGCGAAGCTATTTAGGTTTTTTAGTTGTGTTGTAAATGATTATTGTGCCATTAATTTCACAATAAATGGAGAAATTGTTTTTTTGGTGTGGGTTTAGAGATAATTATAGGGGGTAGTTAGGCATTGAGAAAACTCAAACTATCACTACTACAAGAAGGGGCTAGGCCACGGTTTGCCTAACCACGACAAACTAGCAGTGGCCATTGGTGTTTAATGACCACTGTTAATGCGCATCAGTATTCAACTTTGCTTCACTCATTAGTCACGGAACACCGTGGCTAATACTATATGCACTATTCAACTATCTACTAGAGGTGTCAAATGGACAGTGCCAGGGGAGCCCGTCCTATTTAAGCTCGTGCTTTTAACGTTTCGTGCTAGGCCGGGCCTGCCCATTTAATTTATCGGACCATGCCGATGCCCATTTAGTAAAATCATTGATCCCAGCCCGGCCCAAAGCCCATGTCCACATTGAAAAGGGTCGGGCTAGGCTCATGTCGTGCCTATGCTCGTGCCATACTCGGGCCCAAGAACCAACTCATTTAATTTGAATTTTTTTCACTTGATTTTTTTTCCCACTAGATAATTCAAATTATAAACATTAAAAATATAATTAGAGGCAAGAAATGATGAACTATTTGAAAACATTAATCAATCAAACATTCAAACAATATGAAATGACGGAGGGCAAAAAGTGTCAAACTCCACAAAGTCCACTTCAACTTTTCATCTTTAAACAACTTATTATTTTATATGTGAAGAAATGTCTTGCTTTGATTATAAGAGAACCATATATATCATAGGTACTGATTAGATATCAAGTCTAATGTTGTTTAATTAATTTGTAGTTGATATGTTTAATTAATTATGAACCCAAGTAATTTCCCTAAAATGAAAGACATCAAATGAAACGACCTGACCCAATTTCTACTTTGGAATCCGGGTTGAAACCTGTTTAAAACTGACACCTGATAACCGTGGGTCGTAAATGATCGAAATGCCCTGAAAACAGTAACATAAACCTTGAGCACCTAACTCGTGGCTGCGCCTGATAACTGTAGGCTGCCTACGTACCATTACTGAGGGATCAAACCACATATAGTTCTTTCTTCTATTCCTGATCTGTAACTGAACTGTTTACTGTAAACCTGGTTCTAGGGTTGGAATTCCTGGAGTATCCGGGACTCCGTTTTATGATCCTTCAAACACTATACGATCCTGGCCAAGTCTAGATTACCATATCCGAAAATGTTTACGATCCATCGAAACTATTGAACCAGGAATTCACCCACTAGGCGAGATTCGTTCGGGGTTCAAACGTTAACCAAATTGAGATCCGTGAATTCCTACGCGCTCGTGACGACCCAAGGATCATTATAGAACTGAAAGTAGTCTCTACCAATCTGCCCATGCGCCTCCACACGCGCCTGCAGGACGTGGGTGGCTTGATCAATTCCTGGAGGTCGGAAAAACTCAAAACCACCTGCCCAAACTCCTAACTTAGGTAAAATACCCCATTTGGAACAACTTTTGTTCTTGGACATACCCCAAAAAGTGGCCGGAACTGGCCCGAACTATGCTCTCAAAACCGGCTGAAACCTAACTCGTAAATCGAGCTATCTACGCTTGAAATTTCTGAAATCCTACCCAACCAGCAGCTAGACCATGAAAAATAGCTAGAAAACAATACCTTACTCGTTTGATTTGGTGGCCGGACGACAGAGAACAAAAGGTTGGAAGTTCTGTCAAAAACTGTCCAGCACCGCCTGTTTCGTGGTTGTTTCCGGTGACTATGGCAGCGGATCGAGGCGGTGAAGGGCTGGGGTTGGAAGAGGGAAGTTTCGTGGTTCATTTGCACTGGTCTTGCCTGAATCGGAGGTCGGAGCTGAGAGAAAACAGCTCCCAAAGCTGAGAGAAATTTCTGGGTTTATATACACTGAAGTTCGAAATATTTACGGTTATGCCACTGAACTTCTTTTAATCATAACTCCTTCGTTAAAACTCCAATTTGAGTCCACTACGCGTCTACGGACTCATCTCGCTGCGTTCTACTCAACGGTATAGTTGAAATCCCAAAATTCCTTCCCGGTCAAAAAGTCAACTTTTATACTATTAAAATATTCTAGGGGTATAGTGGTCTTTTATTGGAATAAATTAATAATTAAATATTAATTAAGGACCGGGTTGTTACAATCTACCCCCCTTACAAAAATTTCGTCCTCGAAGTTTACTCATCCTTCACTGGATGGGGTGGAGGTACTGGGCCTACGACTGCTACTCGGGTGCTCAAGTCTGCGCTTTTGAAATTGCACTCACCATTTGCATCTCAATAACTGTATCTATAAGACAATCAATAAAATCCGAAGGCAACCTATGTATATATGGGTACCTGAGGTGACTTAAGAAAGTATAAAACTCTGAAAAGATCTGCTAATTAACTGAATTTCAGATAAATTCAAAACTCTGCTGCCATGAATATAATATTTAGCTAAAATCCCTTTTTTTAAGCCATGAATCTAATATTAGGCGCCACGTGTCATTTCCGCAAAAAATTAAAAACACACAGTATAGCCATGCGGCTATATTATTTCTTTTTTTTATTTTTTATAAAAGAAATCCATCTATCATAAAGGCTCCACATGTCAAAGAGAGGTATAAATATGAAAAAAAGGACCCCTTATAAGGCGGCATGGGTCAACACCAGTCTATTTCTTTAAAAATAATTTTAAAATGTAGTATACCCGTGCGGCTATACTCTTTTTTAAGGAAAAAAAAAAATCCCTCTATCATATAGGCTCCACGTATCAAATATAGGAATAAATATGAAAAAAAAAAGGATCCCTTATAAGGCGCCAAGTGTCAATACCAGTGTAATGCTTTTAAAAATTAAAAAAAAACATAGTATAGCCGACCGGCTATACTTTTTATTTTTTATTTTTTATTTTTATTTTTTTATATAAAAGAAATCCCACTATCATATGGGCTCTACAAAGATAGGTATAAATACGAAAAGGGACCCCTTATAAGGCGCCACGTATCAACACAGTCTAATTCTTTAAAGAATTAAAAAAACGTAGTATCGCCGCGCGGCTATACATTTTTTTATAGAAAAAAAAAAAAAAAGAAATCCCTCTATCATTTAGGCTCCACGTGTCAAAGATAGGTATAAATATGAAAAAATAGGACCCCTTATAAGGCGCCAAGTGTCAACACCAGTCCAGTTTTTTAAAAAAATGAAAAAAAACATAGTACAGCCGTGCGGCTATACTATTTGTTTTAGAAAAAAAGGAAATCCCTCTATCATTTAGGCTCCA